TATATATATATATATATATTTATATATTTCCCATTGAAAGATCTCTAATGATCAACTTCTTAAGACTACAAAGTCCTAGTTAGTCTATGGGTAAGGCACTTTGATCTTTCATTAGAAATGCAAACTCCAGGATACCTACTAGAGTAACAGGTTTCAGACTCTGGCCACTGGATTGTGAAGCACTCGGCTGGGCGTCAGCAGGTGGGCCTGGCGCTGGGTCACTGCTTCTCCTCACCAGCAGTGGAGTGCCTGTAGGACAAAATAAGAGGTGAGAGGTCAACAGAACCCTGGGGAGAAGAGAGTGCATGGTACAATGCGATTTAATTAAAAAGGTTTACAACATGCTTTTATGTAAAAACATTCTATTTCTAAGGATGCTTGTAAATTAATCCATTTAATGATCTTTTGTCATCTATTTACAGACTGACACATGGAAAGAAAATCTTTCAACTCTCATCTTTCCTCACTTGCATTTCAAAACAAGCCATTGTACTTAACCAAAAACTATTAGGCAGTGCAGAAGTTGACCGTGTGCAACCTGAAACCGATCTAGAGAATATATCTGAGTATTAAAAAGAATGATTATCCAGCAGACAAGTGAAGAGATTCCCATAGTCAGTGCAATTTGTTATTCAGTAGAGCTAGAAGTATAGTTATCCCTGCAATTTGGTGCTTCCCAAATCTTTTGAATGATGAAATACACTGAAATAAATTATTTGCTGGGGTTATAGCATTAATGTCTATTTAAGTATACAAAGAGATTGGTTCCATCCTCTTCCTTTTCTCCTAAAGTAGATAAAACTGATAAGGAAAATAAGTTACTTCTTCTAAAAATATACCTTGATTTCTTTTTAATTTAATGAAAGCTTCCACTATTAAATATTTGAGCCAGTTATTAAATTCTGTGAAAAGATCATACTATTAGAAAGTTCAAGTGAAATTCAACCTTAACAGAGCTAGCGGCCTAACTAGTCTGCCTGCAATTAGGCTTAAAATAATTTGTTTCATACAAAATTGGCCACTATGGAGGAAACTCTCAAAAAAAAAATCTTTTGTGGTCTAAAAATTGCTCTCATATAAAAATTAACTTTTTATTTGCATGCTTTGGGGGAAAAACGTAGAAAGCAGTAGAAATGCAATTCTCCATTTATCAATATTCTGAAAAATATTCCCCAAGTCTCTCAAGCTCTGGCTGTTTAAAATAACATTTTTCATATTCCATTTTAGATGGTGTGGTTACAAAAAGTGAATCCACTTTGAAGTTATTTACAAATCTGATTTTTGTATGTGTTCCAACATTTTTATCCTGTGTACAAAATATAGACGCTAACACCTTCCATCTTTGTTCAGGTTCCTTTTATCCTTGCTTTTTTTTTTTAATTAAAAAGCTTTTAATGTATATTTACTTTGAGAGAGAGAGGGACAGAGTGTAAGCAGGGGAGGGGCAAGGAGAGAGGGAGACAGAGAATCTGCAGCAGGATCCAGGCTCTGAGCTTTCAGCACAGAGCCCGACGTGGGGCTCGAACTCACAAGCCATGAGATCATGACCTGAGCTGAAGTCAGACGCTCAACTGACCGAACCACCCAGGCACCTCATCCTTGCTGTTTTTTTTTTTTTAAACTTCTTTTATAATAAGAAATTAACAAGCTATTTAGAATGAAACACTATCCAAAATGTTTATAAAGTCCAACTTTATGTTCCATTATTTCTTTTTTATTGATAAACATTTCACTGCATTATTCCCTAATTCCTCCACATCCATCTACAAATTTTTTAAGCAAGTGACATAGCAATAGTTGTATGGCTGGCAACTGTGCTTGAATGAAACATTAAAGGAAAATAAGTGGAAGAGAAAGTATCATAAAATCTCAAGACAATAGAGTTCCAGTCCTGTACCAGTATTTATTTTTTCCGATTCAGCTGATCTGAATTACCATTAACATAAAATGGACCAATCATTCTAAATGTGGTATCTTCAGAAGCAACCCATTATCCTTAAAATTAAAAAAGAGAATGGGGAAAACTCCACGAAACTCCGGTTTGTTTCTAAACATTTAATCCACACCAGGACACTGCATGCCAACAATCTCAAACTGGATTAAAAACAAATCAAAAGCAAGTAAAACCAGCATGGGACACCAAGATCCAAAAATAAGTTGATTTACAGACACAGAAATGGAAATTTTAGTGATTGACAGCTGCACTATTTTTCTAGCTGAGTCATACACATGTATATGAATATATATAGAATGTGTGTGTGTGTGTGTGTGAGAGAGAGACAGAGAGAGACAGAGAGAGACAGAGAGAGTGAGAGAGAAAGAGAGAGAAAGGGAGAGAGGGAGAAAAAGAGAGACAGGACAGCAAGACCTATTATATTTTTGGGTAATAAATATATTTTTCTTAAAGCCACACTAGATAATTTTCATGCAGCTATAAGGCATAGTTGTGACTCTGCTTTCCATCAATGCCTGCTATTTTAATAAGAAAATGTTAAATTATTTAAGACATAATTCTATAACAATATGAATTGAGTTTGTGCATTCAATCAGTAGGCCATAATATTATATGGTGTCTCCCAGAACAAGATAGTTCAGTGTTGTACCAGCGTACCCACTCTTTGGGACATTAACCAAAAAAAACAAAACAAAACAAAACAAAAAACCCCAACAAAAACAATAACTAACATGGCTAGATCTTAAACATACTCTCAACTTATCAGGAGTAAGTTCTGTTGTTGTCTACTTTTTCTGGATCAGATACTTGAATGCCTTCTGGTGAGCCACCTTCTAGTTTTTCTTTGGCTGCCTTAATGTGTTAATACCAAGTATAAATCATTTTGTAAAGGAATTAATACGGAGAATATTTAAATATGAACTGTTACCTCAGAGAGTTTTAAACAACCCTTCCCTTGGCAACTGAAAATTCATTTTAAAACCAATTTTAAAACAAAATTTTAACACAAATTTAATATTTGTTTCTTTTTCATTGCCAAGCCTCATTTGAGGATGACTTCCAGGAACAGACTGAGCCACAACTTAAAAACAAAGACAGACACATCCTATATAGAAAAGAAGACGAGTACTTTCAAGTCTTGGAGATGATGTGGGGAGAACCTTGGATAGAAGGCCCACCTTGCAGGCATGGCTACCCGGAATGAAAAGGAGACAACCACATCCAGTTTTATAGAATTTTCTGGGTGAGGGAAAAAGTAAATAAAATGTAACCTCTGCGTCAAAGGAGCTTATAACCTAACAGCGAAGGTCAGACTCTAAGAACTATCATGTGTCTATGCAGTGGAGAAGTCCGTGGGTTTTGAAGACAAAAAAACTGGGCTTCACCTTTCCTGGCTCTGTGACATTGGGCTGCTTGATGACACAAGCTCATCATTTAAAGCCTGGTGATAAAAACAGATCACAGAATTGATGGGAGGCTGAAAAAAAGGCAGGCAGGCATGGGACATGGTACTGCGCGGTCTGCAATTTTTATGCAGGAAATGCCCCTCCTCCCAATAAAAAGGAGATAACAGCACTTGCTATTGTTATGAACAGTGCTATCTGCTCAAAAAATCGAACACCTGAAAGTCAGTTTTCATGAAATTATATGTAAATTAAAATAATAAAACATAATTCTGTGCTGAGCCAGGTATAGACTTACTATAGAAATCAAAGCTTTTAAGAAAAAAACATGATGTTGTGGGAAAGGAGTTCAGAAATGGAAAAAAAAAAACCAATAACCCATTATTCATTGATAGTTTTTAGTTAACTGATAAAGGACTCTTAGATTTTAGAGGCAAAAGCCCTCAGTTCAGCTTAAGAGAACAGCACTATTCCTTGGATATACCAGTTTAAAAGCCATTGACTGCAAAGCCCAAATAAAATAAGAAATGTTTTGTAGTGTAAAGCATAAAATCTTATACAATTGCATTATGTTTTTCCACATAGTTCAATATTTGAGGCCTCATTACGCATCAGGAGCTCTACATGGAGTGGCCGATATTAAGATGAATAGTCAGGGTGCTTACTTAGGGTTTATTTTTAAAAAGAGGCTGCGAGGACAAAGAACAATTTACACACACATGCGTATCAGTGCAGTGTTCCAGTGGGGTCACGTGTGGGTTATTGAACCCATACCCATGAGCATGCACACTGTAGACTAGACCAAGCCCCACTTTATTTAGGCAGAGGCACAGAAACTTAACGAAAGTCACAGAGAGCCAAAGAGAAGCAAGTGACCCTCAAAGCAGAAGAGTTCCTGATCAAGTGTGTAGCTCCTGGTGACCCTGTCCTTGAAGATAGGGTCTTGCCACATCAGGAAAATCTAAAATCCTTTCTGGGGCACTGACCATGCATATCCAGGGCTTTCATTCCACTCAGGCTGAACTTACTCCCACACTCACCGCTCTTGCTTGTAAGAAGATGGCTAGACTCCTCAGGTTCTCCAGGCCTTGAGGCAACCAGCACTGGAGTCAGTTCCTGGGTGTCTATGAGTGATGGCACGTCTCCTCCCACTGCTCAAGCAGTCACCATTTTAATGATAGTAAAACTAGGATTCAAAGGGGTACAGTTACCTGCCCGATGTCCCCCTATATATGTAAATAAAGGAGCCCAGAGGAGGACCATCTAATCCATTTGGGGGGAAAAAAGAGGGCTAAAAGGTGCAGCAACTAGTTAAAAGGATCAAATTGGTACATTAATGAATCATGCAAGATATAAAGGCCAACACAAGTTATCTCCAGAAGTTTCTGTCCCTGTTATAATAACACACACACACACACACACACACACACACACACACACACACACACA